AAAGGAAGAAGAGATGAAGGGAAGGGAAGGAAGAAGAGATGAAGGGAAGGAAGGAAAGGAAGAAGAGATGGAGGGAAGGGAAGGAAAGGAAAGGAAGAAGAGATGGAGGGAAGGGAGGGAAAGAGAGGGGAAGGAAAGGGAAGGAAAGGAAGAAGAGATGAAGAGAAGGGAAGGGAGGGGAAGGAAAGGAAAGGAAGAAGATATGAAGGGAAGGAAAGGGAAGGAAGAAGAGATGAAGAGAAGGGAGGGGAAAGAAAGAAAAGGAAGAAGAGATGAAGGGAAGGGAAGAAAGGGGAAGAGAGGGGAAGAAAAGGAAGAAGAGATGAAGGGAAGGGAAGGAAGAAGAGATGAAGGGAAGGGAAGGAAAGGAAGAAGAGATGAGGAGAAGGGAGGGGAAAGAAAGAAAAGGAAGAAGAGATGAAGGGAAGGGAAGGGGGGAAATGACAAGAGAAAGAGAACCGAGACAAGGAGAAGGGAAAGGAGGAGGAGGGGAGAAGGGAGGGAAGGATGACTGTAGAAGAAGGGGAAGAGGAGGAAGATGACGACAGGGGAAGGAGGAGGAGAAGAGACGAGGGGGAAGGAGAGGAGAAGGCAAAGGAAACCATTCAGTCCAACAACCACCCAGGGAATCAGCTGAGGGCATCTCCTACAGCCTTGCTCCAGAAGTGGGTCACTAAGGCTGGACACAGCTCGGGCTTGGCTGGGAAAGGCTCCTTCCCTCGAATGGCCAAGATGTGGGGACAGTAACCTCCCTCCTCCCCCTCAAAAACCCCATAGATCCTCATGCCTTGAAAAGAGTCACCCACTGCACACGCCGAAGGATTATTTTTTTCTTTCTTTCTTCTTGGGGAGACAAGCACCCCTTCTGCAGGCACGGTTAGGACCCCCCCCTGGCTCCCCCCTCTGCGCTCACCAACCCACCTCCCAGCCTTCCGGCCTCCGCCAGCCTCTAGCCTGGCTTTGCTTTTCCAGCATCCGATGGGATCAGTGCTCTGCTGGGCCAGGCGAGGGGTTGCACGCTCCGGATCGCCCCTCTCGAGGGTCTCAGCCCAGCCCCCCTTTTTTCCCCACCCGATTTTTGAAACCCTGCAAAAGTCTGGGCCTTCTCAGGGTCAGCCAGATGCCAAGAGAACCCGGGCTGGGCCGAGGGCTACGGGGGCAGCGGGATCTGTGTGCCCAGGAGGTCGTAAGCGAAGATGTTCCAGAAGACGGCGAAAACCAGGAAGGTGGCATAGGACAGGAGCACCACCCACCACCCGCACTGATCCTGCAGGTTTTCCTCGTAGCTGCGAAGGATGGTCAGGCCCATGCTGATGCCCACAATGGCTCCGGCCAAGTGGGCCATGAAACTGGGCTGGGGGCCAGCGGAGGGCAATGGCGGTGAGAAACGCAGCCAGACGGCACGGCCCACTTCGGAACTCACTGCAGGGAAGCGGAGAGAGAGAGGGGGGGGGAGGGAAGGAGGGAGAGAGAGAACATGGGTGAAAGGTCAAGTTTCTAGTCCTCAGGACATCTCCTGCCACAAAACCTCTGCCTTGGTCACCTTTCATGTTAGTGAGCCAAGGAAGAAAGGAAGAAAGGTGTTGTGGCCTCCCAGCAGATGGCAACAGATTCGGACAGTGAGGAGGTTGGGGAGGAACCTGGGCCAGTCCTGGACTCTGGGGAAGGCTCTGAGGAGGGCTCTGTGTTGGAGGCAGAGAGGTGGCCAGGGCCGTATGCCAGTTATCAGCTGCCTTCAGAGTCAGACATCAATGGGGCAGAAGAACAGCTGGAGCCTGTTCCCAGTGTGCGCATGCCAGGAGAAGGGAGCGGCTAGGGAACAAGGGCTGACTTGGGAGTAAAGACACAGGTGGACAGTGAATGGCCCCTCCAGGGGTGGGCTCCTACCTGCATTGGTACCAGTTCACACGTGTTCCGCGCGTGCTTCAAGCGCTCCAAATCTGTCCAAATCTGCTGCCAGCTCCACTGGCTGCTAGCGGGCCACAACAAGATAGAGGAAGCGCAAGAGGGGGAAAAAATGAAGGAGGCAAGCACACTTACTGCACACCAATGCCAGCACCATACGGAGGAGTTTATAGGGGCAACGCATCCCAGCCCAATTCTGTAGAGGGAGAGAGGAGAAGAGGATGCCTCCGTGACTCAGTTTCCCCTTCCACCCTCTCCCCTCTGCAGCTGCAAACTGGCCTATTTCAGGCGCCTCACACCCAAGTCCCCAACTTGGGCCTGATGGATTGTCAAAATAACTCTGCCACACTCTCAACTGTCACAGCTGTGGGGTTGTATATACTTTTCCCGATTTAACTTGGCTGCTACCCTGGAATGCTGGTGCCAAAATAACTGAGTCGATTTGGAAGACCCCTCAGATTCTCTGCTTCAGTCCTGGCCACGGGACAGTCCTTCTCTCTGCAATATTTTTTTTTATCTCCCCGCTTCTGACTTGCTCTCAAAAGATCGGCGAGGAAATAGATGCAAATTCAGCACCGTCTGAATTTCCAAAAGAAAAGCTGTGCTTTCTGCCCCGTTCTCACCATGACGACGTTGGCCAGGTGAGCCGAGCAAAGGGCGTAGACGCCCCCTGAACCTCCAACCAGGGGGGCTCTCATGTCGGTGATGGAGACGGTCAGCGAACCTGCAAGGAAATGGAAGGTGGGGAGATGAGGGAAAAAGAGGAACAAAAGTATCTTTCGCTTAAAAGCCGAGGTGGCACAGGAGCTAGAGTGCAGGACTGCAGGCTATTTCAGCTGACTGCTATCTGCACTTTGGCAGTTCAAATCTCATCGGCTCCAGGTTGACTCAGCCTTCCATCCTTCTGAGGTGGGTAAAATGAGGACCCAGATTGTTGGGGGCAAGAGGTTAACTCTGTAAACTGCTTAAAGAGGGCAGTAAATGGTATAGAAGTCTAAGGGCTATTGCTATTGCAGTTTTCCTTCCTTCCTTCCTTCCTTCCTTAGAGTGCAGTATTGCAGGCTAACTCTGCCAACTGCCAGCAGTTTGATCCGAGGTGGCACAGTAGCTAGAGTGCAGCACTGCAGGCTACTTCAGCTGACTGCTATCTGCACTTTGGCAGTTCAAATCTCACCAGGCTCCAGATTGACTCAGCCTTCCATCTTTCTGAGGTGGGTAAAATGAGGACCCAGATTGCTGGGAGCAAGAGGCTGACTCTGTAAACCGCTTAGAGAGGGCAGTAAATGGTATAGAAGTCTAAGGGCTATTGCTATTGCTATTGCAGTTTTCCTTCCTTCCTTCCTCCCTTCCTCCCTCCCTCCCTCCCTCCCTCCC